GATTATAAGATTTTCTATGGAGAGAGTAGTTGTTTTTCTAGAGGGAAGGAGCTGGGAGTCTGACTTCAAATGAGGTAAATTTGTGGGTATACAACCCAGTATAGTCATATACAGCCCTAACAACTTGAAATTCTTGATAATGTTTTTGACAGTAGGTCCTTTGCTTACATGTTGCCGTGAACTTGGTAAGGACACCATTTGAGAGCTTGATGTATGCTTCTTCCACTTGGTAAGTTTTGCAAGATGTGACCTGACTCATACCTGACAAAGTTGGCTTGTGACAACTGAAATGAGGGGACTGGACTGCCCTGTCCCCTGTGGTCAACATGCCTCCCAGAGTTTGTCAAATCATAAAAAGTGGATGCTTATAAAAATATGCATTGTCCTCCTTACTAGCACTGCGCTGAGGCTCTCAGGGATGGGAATCTCTAAAGAGCCATACTCTCTATGGATTCAGAGAACAGGAAGGAGTAAGAAACAAACAGCTTGGGTAAGACCTCTCCTAGAACTTTACCATCCTTGAAGAATGAACACTGACTAGCAGCCTGGGGGAATTTGAGAGTGGAGAGAGGCAATGTGAAAAACAAAAAGATACTCAAGACACGAAAATCAAGAAGGCAATGATATCCTTCCCCAACCTAGGCTGCCAACCTAAAGTAGGCCTAACTTACAGAAGAGGATACAATTTGATATTATATTACATTCAGAATTTTGATTAATAATACAAATTGTACATTCCAATTTCTGGATTCCAAGGTGACTTAAGTCAAATAAGCAAAACCTCACGTATACCATATTTTTCACTTAAAAGTAATAAAAGACATAGTGTCTCTTTCAAGGCATTTTATAGGGTTAATAGATGTTATAAGCTGAATTTTGCCCTCCTCAAAATTCATATGTTAAATTCCTTAGTAACTGCCGGCCCTCAGAATGTGACTGTATTTGGAGATACAGTCTTTAAAGAGATAAATAAGGCAAAATGAGATAACTAGGTTGTCCCTTCTCTGATATGACTGGTGTCCTTTAAGAGGAAAGGGGTGGGGGGAGGTGAAGACATGGGGAAGTTGCCCATCTATGAGACAATATGAGAGAGAGACTTCAGAAGGAAATAACTCTACTGATATCTGGATCTTGAGACTTTCAACTTCCAGAATGTTAAGAAATATATTTTTCCCCTTTAGGCTACCCATTCTATGATATTTTTTCTGGTAACCCTAGAAAACTAATACATTAGGAGACAAGAAAAAAATGAGTGGTTATGGCAATAGAAGTCATTTTGGAAGGCATATTAATCAAGAAGTTCACCAAAATTGGGAACACAGAATCTGTCTTCCCTAATAAAACAACTGAAATTAAAAGAACTGCATTAAAAAATGTCCTTTTAAGTAGTTATAGACCCAGTTTAAGTGGCAGACTACATAGCAATATATGCAATACTAGATTGCTTAATAAAAATGTTGTGTATTTAGACAATATGAAACACAGTATATAAAACAGAATATTCAAAAAACCATTAACTGTACTTTATTTAAAGAAATTGACTTATTCTTTGCAAAGGTGTAAGTTGGTATATATTTATAGGAATATTAATTAAACAGTAAAACAAAAAGGCAAATTTATGTTTATATTTTATATTTATTTACATATGTATATAAGTAAGTTTCTTTATGTTTATACAAAGAGTATTACATGTGATTTCTTACTCAGGTAGGTGCCCCATTAGTGTTAACTTTCTATTTTCAGTTATATGATATAAGGAAAGACAGGTTATTTAATTCTGCTTCTAGTCACCTTAGATTAGAGTGAGTGGTCTCTGATCAATCGATGATATTTAAAGTTGATTTAAAGATGCAATAGAGCAACTAAAACTAAATGTTAGCTTTGTATGACTCAGTTCTGGCTTTAGTAAGAATAAATATCGATTACCAATGATAAAGCAATTTGGGTGGAAAGAGAAAAGGAATAGTTTCCATTTGGGGGGTGAGATTGTACAATGAGACTTTACTAATGAAAGAAACCAATCACAGTTGCCAACAGGTGTGGAAGTTTGCTCTAAAGTGCTTCATAAGTGTTTGGCTTTAAAATATTTTATCTTATGTTATGGTTGAGCATAGAGGTTCAACTACAGTAGCAGGAGAGCCAACTGGGCAGGTTCTGAACTGGGATTCACACATACTAGGAGTACTGAGACAAGCAACAGACCCTGGGTATGGGGAACAGTTGCTTCTCACAAAATCTAGCAACAGATTTGGGGTTGTCTCCAAGGTATGAGGAACTCAGAAGTGGTGAATCTAGAGGGACAAAATATGTGGGTGGGATGGTACTAGTTGAAAGTTTCAGGAAAGTCTGTCATCAGGATTAAAACCATTTCCTCAGGACTGTGGGCATGGCTGTAGGGCGGGCACAGACTGGCCAGAGCAAACCCTGCAACTTATTGAGTACTGGATATATCATCAAAGCAGGGATCCACATACAAGTCCACACCTGGGAATAGCTCCAGGATTGGAATAATAACAAATATTAGTTACTGAATGCTTTCCATGTACCAGGACCTTGCAAGCATTCTGTGTGTATTGTTTCACTACATCCAAAGTTGAATCCCATGAACCTCTACAGTCAGGGTCACTTAAAAAACACAAAAGTGGCAATTATGATTAAAAAGACAATCAAAAATAAAGAAATCAGATCAAACCTTATCATTTCAAGATCAAATCAAGAAGGAGAGTTATATACTAACACGCACCGACTATTAATATAGAGGGTAAAATAACCATCACAGAAACAATCAAGCACAAAAATGAGATACGAAACCAAATTATTCTCAGTTATGAAACCAAATTATTCCCAATTTTATAGGAAATAATGCCAGGGGAAAAAACCTAAATTATTACTTACAGATTTATATTTCATAAAAGCTACTTATATGCCAAGTATTTCACCAATGGTTAATTTTCTTTCAATTTCAAACAACTAAGAAAGATAATTTCAGGTAGATGACAGATAGATAGATAGATAGATAGATAGATAGATAGATAGAGGCTCAGAAAACATTTTACAAACATATCATTCTTGAATGTAAATTACTTTAGATAGCTACTAGTTCACCAAAGAATGCATCAAAATTAGAATTCAGGAACAAAGAATGTGACAGACTGCTCTAGAGATATCTCAAAAGGTAGTTTCCAAATTGTCACAGAGGCTTGAAGATAATCCATGCTGATACCATTATCATGCATGTTGTAAGAGACTTGAATGTGTGTGGTCTGAGGTCTCTTTTGGTGTCATGTCTCTACAATTAAATGACAGCAATTTCAATGTGGAAGGTTTTCCTTTAGTATTGAAATAATGCTACAATGAGCAAAAATTTTTCTCTAGATCTTTCTCTCCCTCAGTTTATGACTCACTACTAGACTCAATTATTTAATTAAATAATATTATAATTGTGTTTTTAAAAATAATGTTTGAGAAGAATACAGGCTTATCTTTGGTTTTTTTTTTTTTTTTTTTTTTTTCCTTTTATTGTTCTTCTGGTTACTTGATGTTTTTCATTAAAATATGAACATGAAGAAGTAATAAAGATGGGACTTTTCTAAATTATATACACGAAATCCATGATATATTTATGTAATCTATTAAACTAGCATAACATACCTCTCAAATGTTTATACTGTTGAATAAAATGTATAACCCTTGTGAAAAATCTTTTTTCAGAGGTGGACTTAATCTTTTTTTTAAGGTTGTTCGTGGTAACAGTCTGGACTTGCAGCTTCCTCTCACAACTTCTTGTGACTTTTGGAGAAACTGAGTAGCAATATGTGGAGGGAATCCTTCCAAGATCAACTTGTTCAGTTTATAGACAAGGGATCTGAAGTTGATGAATTGTTCCTAGAGCTGACTTCCTCAAATTTCCTCAGTCTGCCCTGAGATGACCTTTTCCATTACACTCCCTCTGGCATTGCTAAGAAAAAAGAAAGAAATCCACCCAACACTGAACCACACTTACCATAGCAAAAGGAAGAAAACAAATTTTATGATTATTTCATAATAAGCTTCATGAAACTTTAATAGCCAATGTTATAAATAAATTAACTGTACTAAGCACAAACTAACAAAAATTATTATAATTTGTATTTGAATTCTCTAACAATGAGGCCATGATGCATCTTGGCATTTTCTGGATTTTTTGAGACCTGATATAGTTACCCTTAGCAAAAACCACCATAAGAAAGATAAGTATAAGACCCTGTTGTTAATGAAATCTTTGAAGAAGATAATCCTATAACCATCAGAAATCCATTGACAAGCTAGGTGTCATGGTACAGCCTGTAAACCCAGTGGCTCAGGAGGCTGAGGCAGGAGGATCATAAGTTCAAAGCCAACCTCAGCAACTAGTGAGACCCTAAGCAACTTAGCAAGACTGTGTCTCAAAATAAACAATACAAAGGGCTGGGGAATGTGGCTCAGTGGCTAAGCAACCTAGGAGTCCAATTCCCACTAGGAAAAAAAAAAAAAAAACAAGAAACCCACTAACAAGATTTAGTAAAATTCACACAATGTTTTATGTTATGGAAAGAAAGGTTTAAATTTCTAGATTAAAAAATACCATTCTCTAGAGTTGAATTGGTCATAACGTGGTAGGAACAAGGACTGCTCTTTATTGAGCTCCACACAGTTTACAAAGTTTGTTTTATTTAATCTTTTGTGAATTTTGTAACAAAAATAGTATACAGGACATAAAGTGACAGCAAATAATAAGTGTTTATTAATTTAATTTGTTAAATTGAGGCTTTACCAAAATCCTATGAAAGAAATGGCATTGTCCCTATTTTGTAGTTGAGGAAAAAGATGGAGATGAACCAGCTTTCTCAAGCTCACATAACAGAAATCATTTGAAAACACAAATGTAACTGACGTAACAGTTTTCACATATGGGATTGTATTATGTTGTGACTTTTTATAAAGTAGATACTATTTTATTGGCTGAATTTTTTTATTTTCAGGTATTTTCTTATACAGCCGACAAAGAAATCCGAACTGATGACTTATGCTTGGATGTGTCCAGACTCAACGGACCTGTAATCATGCTAAAGTGCCACCACATGAGAGGAAATCAACTATGGGAATACGATGCTGAGGTAGAGTATTTTCCCTAACTCCTTAATTAATGCTTAAGGTCAGTTACATATTTTTAAAATGTTAATCCTACTCTTTTGTTTTTCTGTATTGGAAGAATTATATTCCAACCATTCATGCTCAGATGTGATGACATTAGGAGGGCATATCATATAAGTAGGCTTTAGTTAAACTGGTCCATTAGTATGAAACATGAATAATCATTGTTATATGCTTAAAATATGTGATATCCATGTAAATGTCCAATATAAATTAGGCCAGGGGCGAGCTATACTTATCTGAGAGGTACATATGAAGATGTTCGTATAGCACAATTTGACAATATGTTCTTATTTTCAATTTTTTTAATCTTGCACCATTGTAATCCCTGATATGTTTACTATTATAAAGAATATGGCAAAGAATTCTTTGCTACTTAACATAGAAAATGTTTTCCAGAATTTGATAAACCAGTTTGTCATATAATAAGCCAATATAGCGCACCTTTCTGATAGAGAAGAAAGTAGAGAAAAAACAAAATTATTGATGGGAATTTATAGCTAGGCAATGTGTAAAAATCAGTTCAGCCATCAGATGGAGCTAATAAAAAAGAAATATTTTCTTCAACATAAGGAAGCAGCCTCAGAAACAGATTCATCACTTTCATTTCCCTTTGCTTAGCAAAATGAATTTGTCATACGTGTCACATTTTCAACATTATTAATTGGTCACTGATGTATTTTAAAGAAGAACTGAACTTTATTTTACAAGATAAATAATATAGTAGAGATAAATGGGTCTCACAGATGCAGTGTTCCATATAAGCTTAAAATATTCTGCAATAAAAATATTTAAAAACCAATCTATGGAGTTTTCAGTATTGTTGATATTTTAAACCGGGTCTTCTTTTGAAAACTTTTTGAGTGCCATTCTAATTTGCATGACTTTATGTTTCCTAAGATGAATATCAGGAAAACTGACTGAATTTGTATGGTATTTAAAACTGGTTATATAGGATTAATTCTGGCCTGAAATTTATATAATGTTACTAGTCTCTTGGGACAAAAATTCTTCTGGGACATAATTAAGGACAAACATCCAGATTCCTTTCTGTGTTGTGGCAATGTGTTCTATTGATACTCCTTGCCTGTCAGTATCTTATTCACCTTCTTTGGTCACCATTCTTTTTATCTTCAACTATTATCTGTTATCACTGTTCTTTACATTAAAGCTAGAGAAGACTTTTTCCTCTACTAAAAAAGTATCTAAATCTAAACTCTTAAATCAGTGCACTACCTCTTCTATGAGGAGAAGGAAAGACAAATGTACAGAAAAAGTAGAAATCCTAAAGTAACATTTATTTTTAAATAAAACATTTTATTGTTGATGCTTAGTTTCTTTCAAATGCCAGAAATTTGTTTGGCTTGTACCAAAAGTAAGAGACTATAGCATAAATTTATTCAGATAGGGGAATGATAATTAATTTTGATAAGATATAGCACAATCAAATTTCAGAATACCACTTTTAGTCTTCAAACTTTTCTGTACCTCTTGAGTGAACAATGACTTCTATACTTATAACTGAAGTTGCTTCATTTCTAAAGTAATTCCTGTTAGTAGTTAAGTGTAAACTTTTTTAAAGTGTATATATTCTGTCAGTAACAATGTTGTTGAATGCTAAGGAAGTTTACAAGACAAGTAAAAAGTATGGCTTCATCTAAGATTAAAAAAAAATGTTCTTTTTTTGAAAATTTACCCTTTTGGATGATTAGCAGTTATCTGTTGTAGTATCTCAGAGCACTGTAAAATTTCAAGCCACATTAACTTTGCTTTTAGAATATACACACGCAAGCTTATAATGTGCCATAAATGTTAAGAAATTTCATTTTAAATAAGTAATCTGATCACATTACATACAAATAAGTGTCAGAATTTAATTTACTCTCCTATATGTTTATATACTTTGAAAATTATATTGTACAACTTGTCTAATGTCATCACTTTGCCAAATTTTTAGAAATAAGTAAATCATATTGTAGAAAATCACCTGAGAATAGAACAATGATAGGAATAATGCCCTGCCTTTTCAAAATTTCAAGTTTGAAATTTGATTTTATGTGTCAGAAGTCATTTAAAAAGAGTTAGTTTCCAACAAAATTGAAATAAAACATTTATTTTTTTATGGTTTCCTTTAATTTTAAATTTCATGTTTAGAGTCCCTTTAGTCCACTTAACAGTCCCTATACTTGCTACCCAGAGGGTGGTTCTAGGATCAGTGGCATGCATCACCTGGGAACTTATTAGAAAAATAGAATGTGAGAACTGTGCTTGACACCCTAAGTCCAAATCTCTATTTTAACAATCTCCATTAAAGTTTGGTCTAGACAGTGCCAAATATCTATGAACTTTCCATGGTGTTTTATGTGCTGTTGGAAATTATTGCAAACTTGGGGGGGGGGGGGGACCATGAATGCACTTTGGAAAATGCAAGGCTTCCAGGGGGTCTAAGGGAGAGAAAGGAAGCAAAGGGCGAGAGGTGCTGGGATGTGAATGAGTCATTGCTCTGTAGCTCTAGTCTTCAGAGTGGAAAATGGGTGAGAGCTGCTCACCGATTCTTCAGTTCTTTATCCTTTGCTAGCAAGGGCAAAATTATTATTCTTTGAGAAACCTCTGAGGTCATGCAGTTTCAAGGCAGAATAAAAATTGGTGGAGTTCACAGAATTACAGAGCTGAAACGTACCTTAAAGTTCTCTTCTTCCAACCTTTATCAGGAGAAAGCTAAAGCACAAAGATTACCCTGCTAGCAGCAGAGCTAGGATTTAGGTTCTAATAAAGTTTTCAAAGAAGCTAGTTATCAGTACAGTTTTGAATCTTACAGTGTGAACAGCTGAAATATTCCATCACCTTATCTCCTATACTCCTTTCAGTCTTAGAAAGGAAAGTCATAAATAGGAGCAGAATTGTTGAAATATCCAGAGACAAATGGAAACAGTGTCATGAGCCCTGAAAACATGGAGTCTATCCAGCTGCTTCAGAATAGAGTTAACCGAGTGCTATATAATTTTATCTGTTTTCTTATACAATTGAATGGTCTTATAAGATTGGGCTTTTTATGCTCTGTGTTTATCATATTAATAAACTGGAGCATAGAATAAATATTGGCTAAGTTTGCACACTCAGATTTCTGGTATTTAATCTAGCAATTTTTCTACTGTACTACATTATTTCTCAAGGTAATTGAAAAACTATAAATAACTAGAGGCTCCCAATGGTGAAGATCTAATAAGCTAAATGTACAGTATTATAAATAAGATAATCAAATGTTAACAGTTATTTGCAGTACCAAATTTTGTTCACATAAGATTTCTCCTTTTCTTAATAATAGGAAAATTATTCTTCGATAAATATGGTCTATTTAGATAAACAGTCATGAAACTACTCTGACACTATGGTCTAATGCTTGCACACTTTAGTTACTCATATTCTGAATATAATTAATGTTCAGTTGCTTTCCTTTCAATTAAATGAAATAAGCTTGTGTTTATAATAAATGCATACTGTTGATTTACTCTGATTTGAAATATAGAATTTCTCACTTTCCTAACTCAGCATTTCTCTTTTGTTGTTGTGTTTTTCTGGTATTTTGTGGTTCTGGAGATTCAAACCCAGGGCTTTACACATGCTGGGCAAATACTGTACCACTGAACTACATAGTCAGCCAATAACTAAATATTTCTTAAATAGCACAATTATAAACTTAACTTGCTGTCTGTCACTTTTTACCTTGTCTAATTTGCTTGATTTGGAGGCAACCTGAGCATCATTAGCAGAGTTATGGAATATCCACCTGGTCTATAATCTCTTGAATAAATTACCAGTCAAACACTTCAGTGCCATGAAATGCATATTGTCACAGAGTCAAACAAAAGAGAAAAACTAAATTGAATCTAACAGAGAAATATTTATTTATTAATGGTGCTGGGGACACTAAAGTGATTTTTAAAATTATTTTTATAAAAGTCTGTTGCTCATCCATTCTCTTTTATTCAAATTTTCTTATAGGCTGTTGCACATCCTAAGTGTATTCCAATCTCCTTCAAATTTACATTTTCCTGCAGTATGTGCACTTAATCACATTTCCTTTTGAACATCTAGGCAGCTACATACAGTGTGAGAATCTAATTTTAGATCAGAACACTTGTGCTCAACAAACACTATGCAACAAAGAAAAAAAGGGAGCAAAATATGATGCTAAAAATAAGTCTTGTTTTTCATGTGACTGAGCAAGTTGACTGAGAAAATACTTGTTATGAATTCTATACCCATCTGTATGAAATGTTTCTCAGAGATGAAATATAAGGATTTTTTTCAGTAGGTAAATTATGTTAGATTAATATTTACTGAAATCACAGAAGCTTATATTTAGACTTTACTTACTACCCTCCTCTTTTATTTATCTTTATCAGAAAGCAGGTAAATGGGAATATAATTTCAAGGTAAGTAATCTATAAATACAATGTAGCCATATCCCTGTGTAAAATTCCCAATAAAAACAATGGCTTGGTTTACCTTTTGAAGGAGGTAACCATTAGACATTACCCCTTAGCTTTGATTTTGCATTAGAAACAACTAGTGAATAGAAGTTTCAATAGATAAGTGCTGCAGTTGTAGCTCCTCCTTGTTAATCATCTATGCTTGAGTTTTAGAATGCTTACATCCCATTCTACTGACTGCACAGACTGCTTTGTCAGGTGATCATAATTAATATTTGAGTAACAACTTTACCACATAAATTGTAAAGAGTTGTTATTCTGTACTTGGTCAATAAGGGAAACCTAGCACCTATGTCATGAAATTAAATACCTAAAATAGTCCAAGTTTATTCTTAATCCATTTATCATTATATAACAATTAATTTTATTGGTTTTATTTTAAACTTTTAGTATGCCAACTGAGACTTGTATGATTGGCTCTTAAATCAACTATGCAGTCAGTTGTATTTGTTTATTTAAATATTGTTTTA